CTGTGACCTATGGGCTCTTGTTTACTTACTTTGCAGCATCATCTTTACAAGTTTAGGAAAGGTAATCTAAAGTAACACATGCAAAGTCTTCAACAAATTTATATTACCCGATGTCATGCACATGGGACTGACCTCTGAAGAAGCATGAATTGAAATGAATGTTAACAAGACTAGCTGACAGACTGTCATATATGTGTTAGAGTATTCTTAGTAAGGAGTCAATTGTTTTTCTGGCCTTGTTGTGTCAATTTCCTGTCAAGTACAAATGGTTGCCTCTTTTTAACTGCGTCATAATTTCATCTGAACATTTTTACGTGGTTTATAGGTTTTTTTCTCTCCCTGAGAGAGAGAGAGAGAGAGTTTGAGAGAGTTTAAAATTACTTAAAGTGGGAATATTAATCTTATAAAGACTTTGTAAAGTGAATTGATCTCGCCTAAAACATATTAACAGAGAACACGGATTTTAAGTAAAAAAAAAAAAATCTGATTTTGAATATCTCACAATATTTATTTCACATACCGGGATATATGTTAAAAAAGTTAAAGTAAAATTCAATATTATTCAATACATGTAGTAATATTTGATGAAAGGTTCGTTCAAATATCAAAATTATTTTAATATAATTAAGAATTTAGCATTTATACGCACTTAAATTCTTGGATTTAATGCAAGGTAATTTATGAACATGCTAGTGAATTAATAATGTAAATTTCCTTTCAGTGCTTAATTATGTGCAAAGAATGTATTATACAGACATTGTATGTGTGACTAGATTTATTTGTGGCACACTTGTGGTTTTTAATATAATTAATATTATCATTTTTACATCAAAATTAACTCCCAAGCTTCTTTTAATTTAATAAATCTTAAGAATATATATATATATATATATATATATATATATATATATATATATATATATATATATTATATATATATATATATATATATATATATATATATATATATATATATATATATATATATATATATATATATATATATATATATATATATATATATATATATATATATTTTACAAAATTAAAGGTTAAATCAAGTTTTTAAGCTGACATTTGTTTTAACTTCTATACCATCCAGGTAATTTTAACCTGCATTAATTCAAGGACAGCGATCTCATCTACATTTGGAGAACCCAAACCTAAGATGAAGAAACCTGGCCTCCTTTTCTCCCTAGTGATTGTAGTGCTGGGACTAGGGATCCTTCTTACATTGCTTAATATCTATGAGCTTTATAAAATGAGGGAAACCGGAGTGTTACAACAGGCTAATCTCCCACAGGTGGAGGGAAGGACTGGAAATTATGCTGTCAGGGTGCCTATAGTGTGGGTGGAGGGCAAAAAGGTAGGTCAAGTGACTTGTTGGAGGTTGTCTGCCCTTAAGTCTTTTGTAGATTTAAACTAGGGATGTCAATTTTATTCGGACAGCTTAGTCGAATAGTCGGAGGCTTTAGTCGAACGATAGTCGAATATTCGTTGAAATTTAAATTAATTTTTCATGTCATTTTCACTATATTTGTCTTTTATAGACTAGTTGTACAATATTTAACCTACGCTATCACCATTATACAACGGATTTCTAAAACGTAAACATTTTCAGAGTACAATGAATACTGTACATCTACACGATCCAATGCATTTGATTTCAAAAATTAATATAATATTAATTTACTGCATATTTTATCTAAATGCAGGATATCAAACGCTCGCATTTGTCCTTTCTTTTCATAACGATTGTACATGTACCCGTTAATTGAAGCCGTTTCTACAATGTACGTGTCGTGCCAGTGTCCTTTGACTGGTAAACAATTAAAGCGTGCCTCTTATAAAAACAGAGAGAGCTTGCGATAAATTTTAATTTTGAGATTTTGTCTAAACAAACAATACACTGCATGATATTAATATTAGAAAGAAACAGCATTTAATTACGCTCATAAATGTCACCCAATTTACACGTGCTTACAATTTTGTAACAGCTGTTTAATTATTCTTTATGAATAGTTGCATTACGTCAGATCTTATGGTATTGCAGGTTGAAACTTTATAATAATTTGAATCTACAAAACCAAACAATTCTTGAACGTCCTCTCTATTACAACAATCAGTGGTAAACAATCCTTGATAATCATGTTCGTGATAACAACATTTTTCTTTACGGCTCTGCTATTTTGGCATTTTTGTGGAGAACTTATATTACTAGGAATGTGTACTGTGTATATGTTTGATGGATTCGGCATATAATACATCATATTTGATGTTCCACTGCAGAATACAAGTTCAGTTTTACATAACCTTGATAACGTACTTTTAACTGTTTTTCCATCCTGGCATCTTTTTAAGTATCTCAAACTGTAGGTTTGGAGGCATTAATCGACATACAAATAATTTCATTTGAACAGTTAAACCATACCCTGAGTTTTACTTACGAGAACATTGATTTGTAAATGAAATGGTCAAATCCACGTTTATTACCTTGAATTTAAAATTACTTTTATGTAACACATTTTTAAAGAATAACCGACTAAAGAAATTTTAGTCGATAGTCGGTATGATCGAACGATAGTCGAGTACTCGAATATTCGTTGAAATCCCTAATTTAAACACAATTCACATATAGCCAAAAATAATAAAATCAAATTGTCTACGATTTTGCCTTCTGTTGAATGGACTTTTGAGCTTGAATACTGTTCGTTATCTCCACATATTTCACTTCTTTACCAAGTAAATGCTTGTAGCTTTTTAAATAAACAGAAAATTAGAATGTGTATTTATTTTCCTATTATATGTGAATGAATTTGATGAGTTTGAAGAGAAGTATAATAATAATATGTTACAAAATTGAAAGTTTGAAATTTGGCCATTATCCATATTTGCAGTATTTGAGAGGATAGGATATGTTATGTTTTGTATATTTCAGCTAGAGTCTGGATACTTGAAGTATGTGTTTGCAGTATTTGAGAGGATAGGATATGTTGTTTTTTTTATATAATTCAGCTGGAGTGTTGATATTTTAAGCATGTATTTGCAGTATTTGAGAGGTAGAATATGTTATGCTTTATATATTTCAGCTAGAGCCTGGATATTTGAAGCATGTGTTTGCAGTATTTGAGAGGATAGGATATGTTGTGCTTTATATATTTCAGCTAGGGTCTGGATACTTGAAGCATGTATTTGCAGTATTTAAGAGGATAGGATATGTTGTTGGTGATGGCGATTCTGATTGGGATGTACTCTGGTCACATGAATATCCGTTTGTAAAGCTGGCCAAAAAAATCTCAAATCTCAAGCCTCATCAGAAGGTATGTATTGTGTTTAAAGATTTAAAACTAAAAAAAAAAACAACTTAAAAGTTTTTGTTTTATATTTTTCTCCAGTAAGGTCAATAAAAGTGGGTAAAGTTATCTCAGCCAGATTCAGGATACATGCAGTCATTGATCTGTGTGTTAAGGTGAATTATTCCTCTGCTTCAAATTTCCAATTTTTTTTTTTAAATTCCCAACATTGATTTTTATCAACAACAATAACATTAGATTCTAATGGAAAATTGTTTGAAGAATGGAGCGTCGCTTGCTTTTTCAGAAATGAATATTATGTCTAAAAATTTCTGAAAACTTGATATGGTAAATAGAAAGATCAGTAATTTCTTTACCTCACAATAACATAAAAATGTGAAGTATATATGAAAATAATATGTACTATCATACCTATCTAATTCACATTAGAAAACATAAGAAGTTTTGCTTTTTAAATCAGAATATCACATTGTTTTCTGTGCTTGTAAAATAAAATGAATCCATCTAAAAGTGTTATCTTTTCATTATCGTTCTTGAAAATATTTTTATTGAAACAAAATATCAATTAATTGATTATAAAAATTCTGCATCTGAAGTTTCTATATCAATTAAAAGACTAATACGTTAAAAGATAGAAATATCTCAATTTTCACAGTTTAAAGGAACTGAGTATAAATAATTTTAGTAAACTATTATAAGTAATTTATGAAAATATTGGCATAAGAAACTAGAAATCAACATTTGTACGATAGATCAGGCTTAAATGAGTTGACTATAAAATGGTCCTCATTATTAAACTCTGATAAGACAATTCAATGAATTGCTTGGAATTACTTCCTTGGAAAGTTATCTCTCTTATCAGAGGGATATTACACTTTTAGCAAGTTATATGTCTAAGAACTGAGTGACTAATATCGGTTTAGATCAGTTTATGTGTACATGTATATATATATATTAATATTTAAATCTATTATGATTGTTTGAGAAATAACATTTTAAATTATTTTATGATGAACATTATGTGAAATGTCACCCCTATTCTCACCTGAGTACAGGTAAACCATTTCCCTGGGTCAGGTTACATAACCAGCAAGGTCAATCTGGCAGTCTCCAAAAATCCCTTTATACCCAGGGCCTTCAAGATCCCCAAGGAAAAGGGCAAATTTCTTCAATATGTAAGTCATATATACAATATGTTATCAGAGTGCAATTAATCAGGTCATATATACAATTTGTAAATCAGAGTGCAATTAATCAGGTCAGTTATGCAATATGTACGGCAATGTCAGTGGCGGATCCAGAAATTTTAGAACGGGGTTAAAAGCCTTGAAGCCCCAAGTAGGTCCTAGGTGAAGCATTGTCTGGGGCACAGGTATCAAACCTCCGAAAAGCTGCTGAATTATGACAAAATAAGATGTACACATATTTTGTTACTTAATATTATTTGGAATTCATTACTTCATCTACACAAAATATTTTTTTAAAAACATATTTAACCTCAAAACTTCATCTGAGATGAACATTTCCCTAATATAATCAGCAATGTACAAAAACACAAAATGGATTGAGGTACTTTCAATACAAGGCCATTACTCAATTTGAAATGGTTAAAACATAAATACAGTGTTTTAGTTGTTCATTAGTTTGTAATTAATTGATACGCATTATCATGAAAGCTACCTTACAGGCAGAGGAGCACCCAGACACCCTGTGAGTCAAGAAAAGAAACATTCACAGAGGAATCAAGATAAAAAATGTACAGGGTTAGTACTCCAGGGGAATCAAGATATAACTTGTACAAGGTCATTAATCCAGGAATCTCAAGATCTCGAGATCTAACATGTACAGAGTCAGTATTCTAGGAATCAAGATCTAACATGTACAGCATCATTAATCTAGGAATCAAGATCTAACATGTACAGCATCATTAATCTAGGAATCAAGATCTAACATGTACAGAGTCCGTATTCTAGGAATCAAGATCTAACATGTACAGCATCATTAATCTAGGAATCAAGATCTAACATGTACAGGGTCAGTATTCTAGGGGAATCAAGATCTAACATGTACAGAGTCAGTACTCTAGGAATCAAGATCGAACATTTACAGCATCATTTATCTAGGCATCAAGATCTAACATGTACAGTTTCAGTATTCTAGGAGAATCAAGATCTAATTAACTTGTACAGGGTCATTACTCTAGAGGAATCAAGATATAACTTGAACAAGGTCATTAGTCTAGGAATCAAGATCTAACAAATACAGGGTCAGCACTCTAGGGAATCAAGATCAAACATGTACAGGGACAGTTCTCTAGGAATCATAATCAAACACTTACAGGATCATCCATATAAGAATCAAGATCAAACATGTGCAAGGTCAGTACTCTAGGGGAATCGAGATCTAACTTGTACTAGGCCATTAATTTAGGAATCAAGATCTAACATGTACAGGGTCAGTACTCCGGGTGAATCAAGATTTAACTTGTACAAGGTCAGTACTCAAGAGAAATCAAGATCAAACATTAACAAAATCATTAATCTAGGAATCAAGATCAAACATGTACAGGGTCAGTACTCTAAGGGAATCAAAATTTAACTTGTACAAGGTCAGTACTCTAGGAATCAAGATCAAACATGTACAGGGTCAGTATAAACTAAGAATGAAGATCAAACATGTACAGGGGTAGAGGTCTAGAAATCAAGGTCAAACATGTACATGGTCAATACTCGAGGTATTAGATCAAACATATACAGGGCCAGAACTCAAGGAATCAAGATCGAACATGTACAAGGTCAGTACTCTAGGGGAATCAAGATCTAACATGTACACGGTCAGAACTCTACGGGAATCAAGATTTAACTTGTACAAGGTCAGTACTCTAGTAATCAAGATCAAACATGTACAGGTTCTATACTATATATATATATATATATATATATATATATATATATATATATATATATATATATATATATATATATATATATAGTAGTATTACTACTTTAACGAGTTTCCTCACAAAAAGTTAAGGGAACTTACCAGGCATTGGTGCAAGATACCAGATGATGGTATTTACTTTATATGATATTACTATATTGAAAATTACCAGCATTGCTAATATCACAAGTTTTGGTGTCTTTACTTAGACATTATAGAAACAGTTTAAAAATCACAATATAATGAAAATTATGATTAATTTGTTGTATATTACGAAGAGATACAAAACAGATATTCGAGCAACGTGTTGTCAGACCTTAAGCGAGTAACTTCCCTAATGTTTTCTTACAGACCTGGAGTAACCTTCTTTTTTTTTCAAATAACTAGAGTAACTTTCTTGTATTTTTAAAAGAACTAGACTTGACAGAAGAAGGTTCCTTTGTTCAGGTGTTTGTGGACCGACCATTTCTTATTGATGGCAGGTAAGATATATAGGGTAATCAATTTGTTTTCTAAAAAAAACCCGCGCATATAAAAAGTTCTCAATTTCTTCCAATGAGTATAACTAAATAGTGTGTGAGAAGAAATTTTTTAATTATTTTTTTATATCATCAATTTCATTGTGTGCCCAGCTTACTGTGAAACTGACACAAGGAAACAAGATGCACTTGACAATATAGAGTTTCATGTAAGTCTGTTTCAGAAGGATGTATATTTAACTGCTCATACGGTAGTTCTAAAAATAACATATTGAAATTGATGTGTACATGAATGTTTTTGTAATTTGTTTTATTGTTAGAAAAGTTCAAAATAAACTCAGTTGAAAGCTAAGCCATATTTGTAACCTCTTTCTTATACTGATGTACGAGGGTTGTCTGTTTAATTCTTAGACAAATTGGCTAGAGTAAGCAATAATCAGTGCTGCACTCCTTAATTTTCACTACTTATCAGCACATTATTAGGAAATATACATAGTCACAAAGATATATGGCTCAGTCAAATAAGCAAAAAATAGCATTTTATTTTATAAATGGTATTATGGTGCACGGATGCTTAAGTCAAAATGTCTTTTTCAACATAATATATATGTTTTATTTGTTTCGATAATCTGATAAATATATGTTGGATCTGCACCAATACAGCCTGCAATACTGAATCAGACAAGGAACTAATCTCTCATACACAGGGGGCCTTCTGAAATCTTACCAAATTCAACTAAAGAGACTATCTCGTGAACAGTCTTTCATTACTCCGGTAGCCATTTATGTATGTATGTTTTGTCTATCATGGGGCTCTAAGTCAAAACTTCCTTTTTAAAAGTTGTCCATGTCATATTAATATCAAAGCTCAAGCGATATTTCTCATATTTGTTTGTCTTATCTCAAAAAGTCTGTGGAGATGCCAATTGTAAATCTACATAGAGGTGAACTGCTCTCCAGTGCACCATGACGTTATCGAAGGTCATCATTTTTCGTTTGTTGTGCTTACCACTGTTTCATTTCAACAGATCGAGACACAGACAAAAATTAAGCAAATGCCTTGAACTTCTCAAAATGATGACATTTTAGAAAATAGTTATTCTTACTGCAACCTGATTTATTTTATGCTTTTTATTTTGAAATAAAAGCATATTCTTCTATGAAAAGCTGATTTTTTAGTTGTGCTTCCTAGGACTGGGCTCATTCAAGTACGATAAAAATTTTATTCTTGTCTATATTTTGTCAAAAAAAATTATGCAATACTCAAATATGATAGAAAAAGCCTTGCTGAAAAATTTAAGCTCATTCTTTGCCCCCCACTGAAAGTAGGAGATATTAATTTAAGTCTGTCTGTCCGCCGTCTGTTTGTCATACTGTCTGTGTAAAACTTTCATTTCTCTGATTTTCTCTCAGTGAAATTAAATACACAACTCCCTTTGGCCTAAAAAAACATTATTGATTTTTAGATGAAAGGTCAAATATGAAGGTCAGAAATTCATAACACTTTCGTTTCGTTTCTGAATTATATTTAAAAAAATCATTGAGATTTTGCAATGAAATATTATATGATACTCCTTATTGCTTTTAAAAGACCCCGATTGATTTTGATGTCAACAGGTCAATTGACAGGATCAGAAATTCATATTGCAAACAAAGGTTCCCAGATGATAACTTTAGTTGTCTTTGAGCTTTTCAATGAAGTTGTATATCATAAACTAGTTACTTAAAGAAGATCCCTACTGATTTTGTGGTCCAAAGGTCAAGGTGAAAAATCATACAGAGCAAAAATGGTTTCCAGATAACTTTATTTTTCTTTGATCTTTTTCTATGGCCAGATAACTTTATTTTTCTTTGATCTTTTTCTATGAAAATTTACATCATAACTCCCAATGTCTTAAAGAAGACCCCTTTTTATTTTTAGTCGAAATGTCAAAGTCAAAAATTCCTACCTTGCAATAAAGTTCCTGGTGATAACTTGAATTCTCTTTGGGGATTAGCAATGACATTTGATACTATTAATCAAAATACTTAAAAAAAGACTCCTATTGATTTTGAGTTAAAAAAGTCAAAGACTAAGGGCAGTAACTTATACATGTATATTGCATACATAGTTTTCAGATGATAACTTTAGACCATGAAGTTCTTTTATCTTTGAAAAACACCTATTGACGTAAAGACCAAGAGCCGAAAGGTTAAGATTGATTTTTTTCTTTCAACATCTGCATATTTTTTTCAGTTCTCCCACCCTCTTCCCTTTTACTTAAGCAGGGACACAACTTCTCTGAATTAACTTTTTTTTAAAAAAATACTTTGTCCACAAATTACCGGAAACCCTCATGGTTTATAATTTTATAAATTAAAACTGATTACAGGAAGTTTGACATTGGAGTGTACACCATATTGACATCTATAAATCCACTAAGAGTGTATACTATAGAGTCTGAGGCTTCAATCAGGTGAGTATAATATGACGTTGGAGTGTACACCTTATAGACATCCATAGATTCACTGAGAGTGTGTACTCTAGAATCTGAGGTTGTGTTCAGGTGAGTATAATTTGATTGATTGATTGTATGTTGTTTAACGTCCCATTCGAGAATTTTTTCACTCTTATAGAGACGTCACCATATACCGGTGAAGGGCTTCAAATTTTGACCTTTACTCGGCACTCAGGACCATTGAGCAGTGAGGTTCTTTATCGTGCCAACGCCTGCCGTAACATGGGGCCTCGGTTTTTAAGGTCTCATCCGAAGGACACTAGAGTATAATTTGACATTGGAGTGTATACCATTTTGACATCCATAGATTCACTGAGAGTGTATACAGTAGAGTCTGAGGTTTTGTTCAGGTGAGTATAATTTGAAGTTGGAGTATAAACCACATTGACATCAATAGATGCACTGAAAATGTATATATTTGAGAGTCTGAGACTTTATTCAGGCCAGTTTAACTTGATGTATTGACATTCATGTTTTGTAAAAATAGAACCCAAAGCTGAAAAGAATGGGGGAGTAGATACATGACACATATGCATGATTTTTTTTTTTGTTTTTTGAATGTACAATAATAAGTACATACATGTATGTGATAAACATATGTTTATCAGAGATCTTTTGTCCCAAGTATTAAGACCAATTTCATCACGGATAGAAATAAATTTTTCTGCATTGTAGTCATTGCACAGTTTTTCTCATGTATTTACAAAATGTTCACTGGAAAATGTTCTGTATTAACTATTGTTAAGTAGATATACATACTAAATTATGCCTTATGTCTAATTTTTAGCTGTATAGCAGTGACATTATAATATTTGTAGGTTCTGTTCCCAGGATTATTATCCTTTTGATGCCCGTAACATCAGCAAGTATGTGGTGGGAGACGCCTTCACTCCAGTCTGGAAGGTACACGTATAATCTTTGTCATGTTTATAAAATAAAAATCTGCAATATCCTGACTACTTTATTGTATCTGCATAAAATACCTTTTTTGTAAAATAGTTCTTTTGACTTCAGAAGTGAGACTAAATTGACACTAATTCAGGTCATTATTATATATATTGTAGATAATCTTTTTAAAGAATACAAATACATGTATACGCTTGAATGAAATTTTCTCAAACAGATTTTTTCGTGTATTTTTATGTGGAAAATAAAGTTCTCGCTAATAAAACGTGATTTACAGTAACTTATTGTGTCTTCAATTTTACCACTTTAATCATGAAGGTTTTAACTTTATAAATACGAGAATATTTTTTGGATAATAGGGATAAAATATCATATGTAATGGTTCTACGAGAGATGACATGTGAGAATGGTCAATTACTCAAGAATGAATAATTTCTAAAGGAAAGTTTACTAATTACTGATATGAAATTTTTTTTTATAGATTCCATCCCTGAAAAAGCTGAATAGAGAATTAAATTTCAGCTTTAAGGGATCATTTGATGCTTATTTGGAATGGAAAGGTGAGAAAAAATTGTATTGTGTAAAAATACCTGGATTTATCTGTATTCATTTAAAGTTGTTTATTTTTAAAAATAACTACAGTGTAGTTTCTTAATAATCTATGGCAAATTAAGAAATAGTAGGACTGATTTTAGAGTGATTCCCCTTGTTACAACATGCATAATGAAGCATTCAGCAGACGGCATATTTCTGGAAAACGGAGATGTCAGAAATTTACAACAGATAAATCTCCTAAATTTATATGAAAGCGGAACCACATCAACACAAAAGATTTGGGAAATAACAAACATACTGAGATCTTCCATTTACGATAGATCTAATCTGAAGAGATTCTAAGAGGGGAGCTTGGAGATGCGGTGACCAGGGTTTAGTCAAAAGAAAAATTTTGACATAAATGACATCAGATGGGTAAGATGGGTATATAAAAATTGCTGCTTCTCATCCTCAGTGGTCAGCACAACAAATTGTGAGTGTATGTGAGTGGAGAGGACCAGCTTTAGTGTCCAAATGGACTAGGAGTCAGACATCGGCGCAAAGCAATTATTTTAAACCCATGCCACAAAAGGTGCTATCAATGACTACTGAACATAAACGGAGACGAGAGGCCTGATGCATCACACATCAACATGACAGCTTTGACAACGTGAAAACTAAATACTGTGGAATCATCATTAACCGTGGGGGATTAATGTTCATGGATTTCATGGGTAAAGCTAACCCACAAATTTATATTCCCATGAATATTGATACACACATACATTGAACACGGTAGTTATCTATCATATTACGTATTACCCATGAAATTACGTCCCCAGGAACCATGAAGAATTATTATTCCAGATTAGATAGTATGCATTGACACATCGCTTAAAGTATAGAGAGAACATGGTACATTCACTGACTATTGATCTCATTTACATTGAACTGAAAACCTTGAATTTATTATCCATATGAATTTAGTCGTAAATTGTCCATAAATGAAAGAAATATCACTAAAACGAATTCCGGCCGAGTTTTTGTGCACATACTTTAATATAATTATTGTATTTATCTTAGTTAATGTTCTATACTTGATTCCTCAAGATCATGATTAGGTCTATCAACTTCATAAACATGCATACATGTACTTACTCTTACATTATTTAAAAAAATATACCAGAACCCACATGAACAATGAGATTTGGATTATAAATGCAGTAAGGGAGATAACTTTACTAGACTGAAGCTAGCAGCCAATAACAGCAGCCATTAAGCCCGTAGAAGCTAGCAGCCACTAAGGAAATTCATCAAAGGACTGAGAGTACTCTGACGCAATACTGTTTAATGCCTCGACAATTTATAATTAATAATTAGATAATTAATGCAACACTTAATTATTAATTAATAATTCAAACACTTGGAGGCAGTTAAGCTCACCCGCATAAGGAAAATTATGCGGTTTCACAACAAACAAACAAACAAACAAACAAAAAGAAGAAAATGTCACCATCTTTGACCGCTTAAGAATAAAACAGCATTGGAAATAGGTTAAGTACTTCCGGGAGAATCCCTTTTAAGCTCTTTTACGGGTCTCAGGAACATGATGGTGCCAAAAGGCTAACCTGAAATTTGCTTACTCCTAATATTTACATTGATAAGGGTTTGAAGGTAATTTAATCTATTTTAAGTTATGATCCTTGAAGTGTGCTTCGAACAATTACTGGCCCAAGGTAAAAGGGTCCACAGGGCTATTATATACGGGCATAAAATTTAGGCTGAAGTGGTACCACCAAGTGGTGCCAAGGGCGGGTTACATATTTCAAGCAGCTATTATACCTCTTATCTTATAAGTGTGCTTTAAATCATTACTGTGCAAGATAGAAGATTTCTAGGACTATCTTTCCCGCAATCGGTTTGAGGCTGTAACGGCACCACCAAGTGGTGCCAACGGTGGGGAACATCTTTCATGCTTTCATTTTTCAACCATCATTGACCACTAGAACAAACTAACACTAAACTGGAAAAAAGTTAAGGGCCTTAGGGAGTATCCTTTGTCAACTTTTTGACAGGTTCCAATGACTATAAAAGGCCAGTTAGGTAACCTGAACTTTGTTGTTTTTCACATTGTCTATTGATATACGGGTTAAAGGTCAGCTATTATACCCCCTTATCTTTGAAGTGTGCTTCAAATCATTACTGGGGCAAGGTAGAGGGCCCCTAGGACTATCATTTCCCGCTATCAGAATGTTGCTGTAGTGGTACCACCAAGTGGTGCCATGGGTGGGGGACGCATTTCAAGCATTCATTTTGAAAGCATCTTTGACTACTAGAACAAAGTAACACTAGTGAAAGGTTGAGGACCTTAGGGAGAACCACTTGCCAGGTTTTCGAAGGGTCCTGTTGAAGAAAAAGGGCCAGTAAGCTAACCTGAACTTTGTTGTTTTTCACTTTGTGTTTTAATATACGGGTTAAAGGTCAGCTATTATACCTCTTATCTTTGAAGTGTGCTTCAAATCATTACTGGGGCAAGGTAGAGGGCCCCTAGGACTATCATTTCCCGCTATCAGAATGTTGCTGTAGTGGTACCACCAAGTAGTGCCATGGGTGGGGGACGCATTTCAAGCATTCATTTCGAAAGCATCTTTGGCTACTAGAACAAAGTAACACTAGTGAAAGGTTAAGGACCTTAGGGAGAACCACTTGCCAGGTTTTCGAAGGGTCCTGAAAAAGAAAAAGGGCCAGTAAGCTAACCTGAACTTTGTTGTTTTTCACATTGTGTTTTAATATACGGGTTAAAGGTCAGCTATTATACCTCTTATCTTTGAAGTGTGCTTCAAATCATTACTGGGGCAAGGTAGAGGGCCCCTAGGACTATCATTTCCCGCTATCAGAACGTTGCTGTAGTGTTACCAACAAGTGGTGCCATGGGTGGGACACGTATTTCAAGCATTCATTTTGAATGCATCTTTGGCTACTAGAACAAAGTAACACTAGTGAAAGGTTGAGGACCTTAGGGAGAACCACTTGCCAGGTTTTGGAAGTGTCCCTGGGAAAAGAAGAGGCCAGTTAGCTAACCTGAACTTTGTTGTTTTTCACTTTGTGTTTTAATGTACGGGTTAAAGGTCAGCAATTACACCCCTTATCTTTGAAGTGTGCTTCAAATCATTACTGGGGCAAGGTAGAGGGCCCCTAGGACTATCATTTCCCGCTATCAGAATGGGGCTGTAGTGGCACCACCAAGTGGTGCCATGGGTGGGGGACGTATTTCAAGCATTCATTTTGAAAGCATCTTTGGCTACTAGAACAAAGTAACACTAGTGAAAGGTTGAGGACCTTAGGGAGAACCACTTGCCAGGTGTCTGAAGGGTCCTGAAAAAGAAAAAGGGCCAGTAAGCTAACCTGAACTTTGTTGTTTTTCAGTTGTGTTTTAATATACGGGTTAAAGGTAAGCTATTATACCTCTTTTCTTTGAAGTGTGCTTCAAATCATTACTGGGGCAAGGTAGAGGGCCCCTAGGACTATCATTTCCTGCTATCAGAATGGGGCTGTAGTGGTACCACCAAGTGGTGCCATGGGTGGGGCACGTATTTCAAGCATTCATTTTGAATGCATCTTTGCCTACTAGAACAAAGTAACACTAGTGAAAGGTTAAGGACCTTAGGGAGAACCACTTGCCAGGTTTTGGAAGTGTCCCTAGGAAGGGAAGGGGCCAGTTAGCTAACCTGAACTTTGTTGTTTTTCACTTTGTGTTTTAATATACGGGTTAAAGGTCAGCCATTATACCCCCTATCTTTGAAGTGTGCTTCAAATCATTACTGGGGCAAGGTAGATGGCCCCTAGCACTATCATTTCCCTCTATCAGATTGTTGCTGTAGTGGTACCACCAAGTGGTGCCATGGGTGGGGGACGTATTTCAAGCATTCATTTTGAAAGCATCTTTGGCTACTAGAACAAAGTAACACTAGTGAAAGGTTGAGGACCTTAGGGAGAACCACTTGCCAGGTTTACGAAGGGTCCTGTTGAAGAAAAAGGGCCAGTAAGCTAACCTGAACTTTGTTGTTTTTCACATTGTGTTTTAATATACGGGTTAAAGGTCAGCTATTATACCTCTTATCTTTGAAGTGTGCTTCAAATCATTACTGGGGCAAGGTAGAGGGCCCCTAGCACTATCATTTCCCGCTATCAGAATGTTGCTGTAGTGGTACCACCAAGTGGTGCCATGGGTGGGGGACGTATTTCAAGCATTCATTTTGAAAGCATCTTTGGCTACTAGAACAAAGTAACACTAGTGAAAGGTTGAGGACCTTAGGGAGAACCGCTTGCCAGGTTTCTGAAGGGTCCTGAAAAAGAAAAAGGGCCAGTAAGCTAACCTGAACTTTGTTGTTTTTCACATTGTGTTTTAATATACGGGTTAAAGGTCAGCTATTATACCCCTTATCTTTGAAGTGTGCTTCAGATCATTACTGGGGCAAGGTAGAGGGCCCCTAGGACTATCATTTCCCGCTATCAGAACGTTGCTGTAGTGGTACCACCAAGTGGTGCCATGGGTGGGGGCTTAATTCAAACTTTCATTTTCAAATCACCTTAGGCCCCTAGAAGAAACTAATACTGGTTGAGGACTATTGGAAACTTTCGGGTTCTCTCGGACTTGATGGGGGCCAGTTCAACTTTGTCGTTTATTTACATTGAATATTGAAACACGGATAAAGATCAGTTATTATTTTTTGAAAGTGGATATGCATCATACCTTAGTAGGGCATAGGAGGTGGCGTATCGGGCTATCATTTGCCGATCTCAGATTAAGACTTTAGGGGAACCACCTAGTTGTGCTTTGGTTGAAAACCCTTTTTGAAGTATTTATTTTTCGCAATATTTGAACACCATAAGAAACCAACACAAGGGAAAGGTAAGGGATCATAGGGAGTATTCCTTTTCAGTTTTTGGAGGGTCTTTAAGATTGGACATTGCCAATATTCTGATAGAAACTTTATTTTTTTTCTTGTTCAGTTT